GGGGTGCGGGTTGGGTTTGTTCCATGACACACCTTTCCACGACTAAAAATAATAGTGTCAAGCTGACGCTTGTTTGTTTGGGTAAAGAAAATCACACCGACACACACGATAATGGCCATTTAGTGGTGGGAAAAAGTAAGACAGACAGACACGCAGACAAACACACACAGAGACAGACAGACACGAACAACAGAGGGAAAGTAAAGAAGTAGGAACTACCAGTGGCGCTCTTCAACCACCCACTCCGAGGTGATGCAGTGGGCCCTAGACGCTCAGACTCAGGGAGATAGTATAATTAAAAGAGCTTAGAAAGTTTAGTTTAGTTTTAGTAGAGGTTTTACGGCGCTCGCAACTGCATTAAGTCATATGAGCACTAGAAAATTAAAGGTGTTACAAGATAGTAACAAACATTTAAAAAAAGAAGGGGAGATAAGGACGATAGATGTTTGATAGGAAAGAAGGAGCAAACTAGACCAGAGCACCCGCCAACCACCCACAGCTTACAGAGTGGGCTTTAAATTGCCAAAAAAACACTGAAAAAATAATTTGGCCAACTGTTTCGTCTTGGCGCGGTGCTTGCTTTAAGTATTCGGTTTCTGGTTGTGGAGTGTCAAGTCAGTATCAGAGCGTCTTTCAGTTAACTGACCACTGATAATACATGTTTTATTTCTAGTTTTGGTAAGAGTTTTGCGACTCTTGCAACACAATAAGGTCATATAAGTGCCGAAGATCAGATGTGTTACGAAAAAGTAGCAAGCACAAAAAGGAGGAGACATCAGGATGATAATTGTTTGATAGGAAAGAAGAAACAAACCACACCGGAGAACCAGCACGCCACCCGCCACTGATACGTCTCTTTGCTTACACACATAGGCTTACTACAATATGTAATGTAACTATTCAGCACATCAGCTGCACAAATTGTTACTTTTTTTCAGCAAACTCCCCAATTCTAAAGGCATCACCCCCCTTTCCTCTCCCCCTCCATCCCAAACCCCATCGTGACGAAACAGTTGGGGTACTTATTCAATTGCACGCTACCATGTCCTTTTAAAAAGATTTCAAGTAGAAGTTTTACGGCGATCGCAACTGCATAAGGTCATAATATGAGCGCCAGAAGATTAGAGGTGTTACTAAAGAGTAACAAACATAAAACAGAAGAAGGGGGGGTAAGGACGATATTTGTTTGAAAGGAAAGAAGAAGCAAACCACACCAGAGCACCCGCCAACCAACCACGCACTTATTCAATTACACACTACCATGTCCAATGCCAGAGACAATTCAATAAGAATCGACCACACAAATTATGCGCCCATAATGGAGTCACGGGGGAGCTGTGGCAGTGGACAATTCAACTAGTCAAC